AGTGTTTTATTAATTTAATCGTGAATAATGATAACAAAACATAATTCAACTTTAAAATTATTGTCATTACTCTTATTCATTTCACTATTATTGTTGTTTGCCCAGTAAAACTTAAAAGTAATGTAGAAATAGAGCAGTAGCCATCTTCCATTGAATTTACTGTATTTGTGCACTCTCTACATCATTGTTAGACATTGGGTGTTTACATTGGGATACCCCTTCATCCATTTTTTCCCCTTTTCACAGCAATAAGAGGAAAAGTGAGCAGGGAGATTTCCAATTGACAAAGGAAGAAAATTAAAAAATCCTATTCTGCTAAGCCATTCAACTCCATGAGGTTCAAAATGAATGTCTTTAAGGAGGCAAATGATGGTGGTGAGCATTAGACCTCTGTCTTAAAGAAACTAATTGTAGCACAGTAGTGCAAGAGCTTCTTATTCACCATGAGCCCTGATGGCAGCAGGGTCAGTGGGAGGCCCAGAGCAAATGGCTAGATTTTGGAAAATGAACAAGTAGGACATATTGGTTATTCCCCAGTATCTTTTTTTTTCCTCTCTCTGCTACCTTATCAAACTTGAAAAGATCCCATTAGCAATTTCAGTGAGAAAAACTCAAAGTTTTAGGATGATCATGTTGTTTTGTTTTTGTTTTTATTTTTTACATTGCGTTAAGATTTATATAACACAAAACTTACCATTTTAAATGTACAATTCACTGGCATTAACTACATTCACACTATTGTCCAACCATCTCCACTGCCTGCCTCCAGAACTATCATCATCCCAAACTGGAGCTCTGTACCCATTAACCAGCACTGCCTATTACTCCCTCCCCTCAGTCCCTGGTAACCTCCAATCTACTTTATGTCTCTACAAATTTGACTTTCTAGGTACCTCATGTAAATGGAATCAAGCAATGTTTGTCATTCTATATTTAATTTATTTCATTTACTGTAATGTTTTTGAGGTTCATCCATGTTGTGGTAAACTGGGTTTTAAAGAAGGATTTATTTTGCTACACCAAGTGCTCTATTCAAAACTTACTTCAGGCAGCTGCTGGTTTTAGGACCACAGAAAGTTATGCCTGGGAGACTGTAGATTTCTCCCTGCAAACTTCCAAATATAAAGAGTGGCCTGGGGAAAAGCAAATGGAAATGCCACATCCCTGCTACATACAGCATTATATTGTTCTGAATGAATTACAACAGTGAAAAATGAAATACTGATTTATATCTCCTAACATTTTTATATATGCTCCTTGCACCTCCCAAGACCCAAAACTCCTGAGATGGTTTATTTCCCCAGAGATTGCCTAAGAAATTTGAGGAATCTTTTTTTCTCTCTTATGGAAGAATTTGTTCATGCTCAGACTAGGGAAAAGGCTAGGAAGAGAGCCAGAAAAAGCAGAAAACGTGTAAGCTGTTTTCTCTGACTTAACTGAAGAACCCCAGCTAGAGCAATAAAATGGCCCATGCCTCTCTCCTTTCTGGAAGGATTCACTGTTTGAGGCCATTGGGTCCTTTTTTCCCTTGCGTGTGAAGTTCCCCTTCATCTACATGGGCTGCCTCAAGGGTATCTCCACAGAGCAGAAATCCTCTCAGAAGCCTAAAGATATGAAGGGTAAGGAGAGCCATAGGAATAAAGATTTAAGAACAAAACAGGAATAAAAGGAAATAGGAGCTGGTTTGCTGTACGGACTTCAATGTTCAGAATATTTAAAATGTTTGCTTAAGGCTAGTCTGGGGTGGGCAAAATAGGTGATAGCCCCATAAGTTGTCTAAGAAGCAAATAAAAAATATAAAAATGACATGACTTGTTTACAAAGCAAATGAAAAATAGAACAGTTCTGAAGAAAAAGTGAAAAAAATAGAAAGATGAATTGTGTCATTTTTAAAGAGCAATGCTTTTTCCTAGAAAATATCTTTTGCCTTTCAAACTTGAGGCACACAGACTGACTTTCTTACCAATGCATTGATATTTATGGTGCTTAAGATATTCCAGGCACTAAAATATAATTGATTCATGAAGTTTGTTTGTCTTGTAAGTGTTCCAAATGCATGCATGTATGCACACCAGTGTACACGCACGCACTATCTATATGTAAGCTTAGACTCTAGATTTGTTTGATGGGAAAGGTTTTGACCTGCTCTTAAGTGAAACTTGAAAAAAGACTCCAGAGAATGCCTATATGATACCAACCATGTAAATGAAAATGAAGAATTTTAAACAAATACTAGTATTTTATTCTGTAACACAAACATCTTGTATTACTTTATAGTACCTGCATAATGGCCCTAATGTCCAGCCTTCTCCAGTATATTTAACATAATTTTTTACACTGTCCTGCTGGAGTAGAAGATAAAGGACACTAAGAAATTGGGTAACAAAAGGACTTCCTTCTTGTTTCCCTGCAGCCACTAGTATGAAAAGGCACAGAAGGCAACAAGTTTTTTATGCTTGTATAAACAATGAAACATTTTTGAAGGGAGGGGAAAAAGTGGACTATGGTTTTGAACCTTGTTTAAAATGCCCAGGCCTCCTGGGGGTTTGTGGGACCCTGAGGTTTCTGGAAGGTGTCAGGGTACTGGGTAGAGAATTGGTTCAAGCTTTTAAACCTCAGGACATTTCTATCTTATGTCAGTTCAAAAACAAGTGCCTATGTGTTTAATGTATAAACATACATACATATGTATATGTGTATATATATTTTTTACTTCAAAATGAAATGGTTTGAGACCTTTGAAGTACATACAAAGAAAGCGTGTGGGGTGGTGGGCAGAGACGTGTTGATGATATTTGCCAGCTCAGGTTCCGAGTTGGTTTGTCTCACAGGCGACCATTGCCAGCAGCCAGGATGATTTCTAACCCTTTGACAGCTTTTCCTTGCTTTTATTCTTCTCCATATATTGTTTATTTTATACATTTTATGTTTGTTGCTTTAAAGACAAGAAGTAAAAAGAATATGGATATTTAAAGACAAGCTAATGAAAATGTTTAAAATGACAATAATTCTAAAAATTTACCTCAAGATACTACTCGCCAGATTCTTAAGTTACACTTGTCTGATCAAGATTCTTGTATCACATATTAAGATGTCTCCTGTAATGTTTTCAAGGTTCATCCATGTTGTGGTAAACTGGGTTTTAAAGGAGGATTTATTTTGCTACACCAAATCAGTAAAAAGTAAATATGGTGACAATTATATACAAAGCGACTTTTCAAAAAATTGGAGATAAAAACAATCTGTTGTTAGAGAGGGGGAAATATGCTCACAAAACTCAATCTGGTAGTGTATGTGTGTGTGTATACACACACACATGTATATATGTATGTATATATGTGTATATATACATATATATGGTGTATATATATAATTCATAAGCCAGTTCATTATTTTAAATGCAAACCAAATATTAGCTCATGAAAATAGCTTTTGTCTCTTTAGATATAATGAAATACAGTTAAATTTCAATTTTTTAAATATATGTATATATATTCTATCTCTATACCAGATGCAGGATAAAAATTAAACTTATTTATCAAGATATCTGCTTTCTCCTACACAATCAATTTAAAGTAATTTAAATAGCATGTCTTTAAAGTCATCTGGAAAAAGTAAAAGTTTATCATATGGTATAAATACATATGAATAATATTAAAGACCATATTTAACATGAATTTTTAATAATGTGATGATTTATAATAAAATTTTCTACTTATGTATTCTTCTATATCATGCCACACAAAACATGTCAAGATGGTTACAGAAGTTTGCAAATTTATGTGTTAGTGAAAGGAACTTGGGTGAAAGTTTTGGAGCATGGGGATAATCAGTGTAGTCTGTCGCCTGAACCATTTTATCTCTCAAAAGATTTATAAGAATGAAAATGTGCATTATTGGCAAAGTAAATCTTACTTCTTACTGTTTCTCAAGAATTACCCTCTTATTTGACTACATAGGAAGGAAAACATATGTCATCTTATTTAATATATTTTAAGATGCACATTCTTGGCACATCTTATATCAGGATACAATTCACAATCAGTAGCATCTTACAACACCCAACAGCCAAGCTGCAGTTACTGTTGCAAGTGTGTGAACATCGAACAGGCCCGCATCAAAACTTGCAGAATGAGTCTCAGTGACTTGGAAGAGTCTTGCAGACAGAAGAACTTTTTTTTTCCCTTCTTTTTCTTTTCTTTTTTAACCTCAGGAACCAAACAGTTGTGGAAAGGGAGTGAATCAGACATGTTTAGCAACATTCTTTAAATAGGAGTCAAAAGCAGGCTAACTCTGGGTAACTGCAAGGTCAGCTTAGGAGCCCAGCACCCATGACTCTTTGGTCTTTAATGGATTATTTTAAGACAAGCTGTGTCATCAAACTCCTGATCTAGAGAACGATATTGTGGATAAACACAGACATCAAAGAGTCTGAGTCAAATGCTGAATGTGAAAAAGTTTCAGGAGCACTTAAATCAATTTCTTTCACTTAATGTTCCAGTTTTTGCATGTGTAAGTATGACATATGATAAAATAATCTGTCTAATTAAATGTATAACAGCCCTTTCAATAAGAATTAAAGAAACATTCTGAGCATGTCATAGTTTTACCTGCAGGTTTTTTGTTTCTTAATAGCACAGACAATAGTGGTGCCTCTTACAATCATGGCATCTTAGATTCAGGGAGAGTATTCAGTTCATAGGTTTAGTACTTTCCCCTCCTCTCATAAAATGGATAGCTAATGAGCTTGAATGAGCTAAAATGTTTGCTATCTATATTGTGTTCCTAAATGCTGGTTGCATTCCATTGTAACAAAAAGGTGCAGGCTGTTCTTATTTTTGGTTGACAAAGGGACTTTTTTTCTTGCCCAAGAAGTTTAATAGCATGTGGCCTCTATTTAACTGTCCCCAAAATATTTGGGGGGAGGAGAAATGCTAGTAATTGTTTTCCAGGTATGGTTTCTTTGAAACTGTCAGGTTGACTCTTATTTCTTTTGCTAGGGGTGCAGGCTGCATCTTTATTGAAATGTTCCAGGGTCAACCTTTGTTTCCTGGGGTTTCCAATGTCTTTGAACAGCTGGAGAAGATCTGGGAGGTAAGAGAAGAATTTCTCTTAGGAAGAAGAAATACCTGCATTTGAAACTTTAAATCAAATTTGCCTTTGAGACAAATGATGCAGTCCATCTGCTTTGAGGTATTAAGCTATGTATTAAGGTTGTGGAGACTATGGCATTTGCCACAGGTATAATGAGCACCTTGGGGATGGGTGGTCAGGAACTCCTCTGTTGTCCTGTAGCATTCCATGAATCCACCTGCTCCCTGTTATTATTGTCTCAGTCTCCCAGCAGTTTCTGCCATTACTGCTTAAGCACATTTCTGTCTTGCTGCCCCCAGCTCTAATTCTACTATATGTTTGGCCCTGGATCTTTGTCAACTGATGACAAAAAAGTAAATTTTCATAGAATTTCAATAAGAACAAAGACTTTACCATGTTAGTGTGAGAGAAATACAGTATTTATTATGTTCCTCCAAAACCAAATTCCTAAGATGTCAAGGTGCTTTGTGGGTGGTTCCATTTTTTAAATTTTATTTTTCAATTACAGTTAACATTCCATATTGTTTTGTATTAGTTTCAGGTGTATAGCATAGTGGTTAGACAATTGTATACTTTAAAGACTTTATTTATTTACTTATTTTTAGAGAGAGGGGAGGTGGGGGAGAAGGAGGAGAAAAATATCAGTGTATCAACTGGTTGTTCCTCACTGTTTCCTCAGGAGTTTTCCTTACCTTTATGTGTGTATTAATGGGCTGGAGAGGAGCAAGGAGGGAAAATCGGGACAACTATAATAGGATAATCAATAAAGTCTATTGAAAAAAAAGGAATAAGAAAACTGAATCAGCTGTGCTTTCCAGTGCTCATTCTAGGAGTAAAGAGTGAAGTATAAGTAAATATATGTGAAACAAATGTAAGGTGTGTGTGTGTGTGTGTGTGTGTATGTATATATATAATGAAAGGAAATATATGTAGATAACTGGTATAAATTATAATATTGAAATAAGATATATTTGTTGGGGCATTTGAAAGTTGTGTATATTGACATCTGGCCAAGATGGAGGCGTAGGTAGAAACACTTCACTTCCTTGCACAACCAAAAGAAGGATAACAACATATTTAAAAACAAAAAACAACCAAAAATGCTGGAAAATCAAACTGCATGGAAGTCTGACAACCAAGGAGTTAAAGAAGAAGAAACCTTCATCCAGACAGCGCCATAATCCAGCAAATTGGGTTGCCCCGCCCTGACAAATGCCTAAGGCTCTACCCCTTCCAACATAACGGGTGTGCCAAGACAAAGAAATACAGTCCAAATGAGAGAACAGATCAGAATTCCAGAAAAAGAGCTAAGCTACAAGGAAATAGACACCCTATCAGATGCAGAATTCAAAACACTGGTAAATCTCATGGAAATGATTGAGTTTAGTTGCAAAATGAAGGAAGAAATGAAGGCTATACAAAGTGGAATAAAAGAAAATATATAAGGAACCAACAGTGAAGGGAAGGATACCTGGACTCAAATCAATAATTTAGAACAAAAAGGAAGAAATAAACATTGAACTGTAATAGAATGAAGAAACAAAAACTCAAAAGAAAAAAAGAAGAGAGGCTGAGGAACCTCTAGGACAACTTAAAATGTTCCAACACCCAAATCATAGGGGTGCCAGAAGGAAAAGAAGAAGAACAAGAAATTGAAAACTTATTTGAACAAATAATGAAGGAAAACTACCCCAATCTGGTGAAGGAACTAGAAATGCAAGTCCAGGAAATTCAGAGTGTCCCAAAGAACTTGGATTCAAGAAGAAACACACCAAGACACATCATCATTAAGTTACCCAAGATTAAAGATAAGAAGAGAATCTTAAAAGCAGCAAGAGAAAAGGAGGCAGTTACCTACAAAGGAGTTCCCATAAGACTATCAGCTGATTTCCCAAAGGAAACCTTGCAGGCAAGAAGGGGCTGGAAAGAAGTATTCAAAGTCATGAAAGTCAAGGACCTACATCTAAGATGACTCTGTCCAGCAAAACTATCATTTAGAATGGAAGGGCAGATAAAGTGCTTCCCAGATAAAGTCAAGTTAAAGGAGTTCGTCATCACCAAGCCTTTATTATGTGAAATGTTAAAGGGACTTATCTAAGAAAAAGATGATCAAAAATATGAACAGTAAAATGACAACAAACTTACAGCTATCAACAACTGAACCTAAAAAATAAAACCAAAAACTAAGCAAACAACTAGAACAGGAACAGAATAACAGAAAAGGAGATCACATGGAGGGTTATCAGTGGAGAGAGAGGGGGAGAATGGAGGAGGGAAGGTACATGGAATTAGAAGCATAACTGGTAGGCACAAAATAGACAGGGGGAGGGTAAGAATAGTGTAGGAAATGGAGAAGCCAAAGACCTTATATGTACAACCCATGGACATGAACTAAGAGATGAGGGGGAATGGTGGAAGGTGGGGGCCTACAGGGCAGAGGGGAAGAAAGGGGAGAAACAGTGGGAAAACTGTAATAGCATAATCAATAAAATATACTTTTAAAAACGTTATGTATAAACTGATTTTTATATTATATACTATTTTTAAATAATCATGTTCTTAAAAACATTTAGCACAGCACTTAGAAACCATAGAACAGAAAGAATGGGCTCAAGACCTGATGGCTCTCTAGTTAATTGGTTCACATTTCCAGGACTAGCCTTGCTGATTGACACTGGCCATCTGAAGATGTTTTAGGTAATTCATTAAGTGAAAGAATTTGAACTTGAATCTGGACATACAGTACCAAAACATGAGTGATGCAGCAAAAACAAACATGTCTTAACAAATCAGTCTAATAGTTCTTGCCCAGAAAGCCATGTTCATTTCTACATTGTCTTTATCACACTGCAATCAATCAAAGGGACTTTATTTTGACATTTATGACAACTCATTACAAATTTAAAACAAGTAAACATATTAGAAATAACACTGGCCTGCAGTCAGAAGACATGAATTCTGAACCCAGCTCTAACTTCATGTTATGAGGGAAAGCAATTCACATAACTGACCTACATGGGCCTCCAGTGTCTTAATTGTTACAGATGCTCCTCAGCTTATGATAGGTTACCTCCTGATAAACCCATTGTAAATTGAAAATATCAAAAGTCAAACCATACTAAGTCAGGGACTAACTGTATTTGGTTTTCTGACTCCATGACATTGTGACTTTTTGAAGAAAGTGAAAAGAAAAACACACAAAAAACAAAATGTAAAGAAAATATTATAGCTCCCATCATTTAAGATCAGAATATTCTGTTAATGTGATTCCCCCTCTCCCCCAGATAGTATTTTTCTCAAGTTTGTCAATTGAGACGTCTCAAGTCTCAAGTTTGCCTAGTTCATTGTTGACTTTTGATCTGTACTGGTCAAGGATATAGTTCCATATTGCTTAGCCATCCTTTTGCGGAAACCAGGAGGTCAGATTCATTACATCTCATTACCCCCTTGGTCCTGTTGAAGGAAGACCATAGTTTTGTTATCGTACCTGTACTTTCACACTCTGAGGACAAAGCGGAAAGTCACCAGACTCAGCAGTGTGTTGTCCTTAATACTACTCCATCTGAAACAGGTTAGAAAATTAGACATTACATATAGTTCCTGGATTTGTGTTTTGCTAAACGTGGCCTACACAAATGAAAATAGGAAATCTACTTCCAGTCTATGATATTGGATATAGGGATGGCTTCTTTGAAAGCAATGTGTCCATTCTAAACCTCCCCACTTCTAAACACACCTTTCCTCTGTATTTATCCTGAGATCTCATTCTTAGGAATAAGGATATAACTAGAAGTCCTGAATTTTTCTTTTACCCTCTTTCTGAAATGTGTGTATGTGTGTGTTCACATCTGAGTAGCTGTCACAGCTTTCTGAAATCTAATTCATTCAATAAGTGTTTTTTAACAAATAATCCCAGCTGTGGTTCTAAAATCAGAGTAAAACAAACTATGCAGACCTTGAATCCATTAATCAAAATGCCTTCAGTTTCCATTCCAACACAGGCAGAACACAGCCCCTGCAGCCCACTGTGTTTTCAAATATAGCACTCACTGGCTGCCTTTTTAAGAGCCTTTAGGGAGGGCATAAATCAACAATTTTTGGTTTTCAGTTTCCCAGACAGTGAGGTAGAGATTTAGTAATTTTCTAAAGGGAAAACGAATTCAATAACTTTCAAATAGAAACTCAGCATCAGATTTCCAAATAAAGGATATTGAATTTTGTTTGAACTTTTTAAACCTCAAGTTTAAAGCCTTTAGCATAATATTTAAAAATCATTGGTATCCATTCTGTTGATTTAATTAAACATAATGCAAAATAACCAACAAATTCTGGTAACTTGTACCTTAGAAAAATATGGATGTGATCGTTATTTGTTTCTCTATTGCTTTCTTTTCTTTGTTATCTTTGCTTTCTTATCATTGCACTTTGCCAGTCAACAGAAGACATATGGGTGCATGTAAGTCACACCCACTTGTTTACATGCACATCTGTGCAAATACATAAGATGGTAGGTTTAAAGAGTGGAATTAGCTACCTATCCTCTGGCCCATTTCTACAAAAGAAGAATTAGTCCATTTAGTTTTTCAGAATGGATTCTAGGGTTCTTAGTGTTCTTCAGGCTCAGGGTGGTTGATAGGAAAAGCCATCATTTAAAATCATACAAGCTTTTAACAAGACTTTCAGTTAGTTTAGGGAATAAATCAAAGAAAGAAGATTTTACTGTGTGGCATGATTTCTTAAAATCATTATTATATGAGGGAGAGTAGCACTTCAGTGTCTTTTGTTTGAGGACAAGCTTAAAAGGCACCACAAAATATATCTTTCAGCCAGAGTCCTAGTCAACACACTAGTGGGTATTGAGATTCTGTGTTTCTCATGGATTAGCATAAGTCAGTTGTTGGCCAGTTGACTTCCTGCCATGACACTTGGACTGCTGTTTTACAAATGGATTCTCTAGACTCTTTGTACATGACATGCTTCTAAGAAGAATTCTATTGTAGTGGTATAATAAAAGGTACTAGTATTTTACTAATATTTTATAAAAACAATGTTATTCTAGCCATGGCCAGGTGGTTCAATTGGTTGGAGCGTTGTCCCATACACCAACAGTCTGTGGGTTCAATGCCCAGTCAGGGCACATACCTAGGTTTTAGGTTCATGGTTGGGGCTGCATATGGGAGGCAGCCGACTGATGTTTCTCTCTCACATCGATGTTTCTCTCTCTCTCCCCCTTCCTTTCTCTCTAAAACCAATAAATAAAACCAATGTTATTCTAGTTCCCAGATATAACTGACATTGGGCTTTTATAATTATCTTAAAAGAATGGAAAGATGATACCTACAAGGGAACACACAGAAACAGCACCATCCAAAATCTGAAATGTATTGACTTTGTACTCCAAAGACTTCTATTTTCCTATTAATTCAAAACCACAGCTTCAATTTGGCAATCCAGAGTATAAATGAGATCTTATTTAGTGATGTTACTATTACTGCCCACCAGTTAAAAACCAAATACCACATTCCAAGCTGCTGGGCCACAGAAAAAACAAGTAGGTACAATAAATTTGGTAGAAAGGACTAGAGTTAGTTTTGGGATCATTTTTAGCCAACATTCCACTGCCTAAAAATCTGTAATCTGAACCCTTTTTAATTTCAGTACATTGCAGAACAGCTGAATGCCCATGCTAAGACATAATTTAAGCTGTCAAGTGCCTCCTGTTTTTTGTGTGTATATATATACACATGCACACACACATACATATACACACATACACACAAAGAACAGGATACGTACACACACACACACACACAAGCAACAGGAGAGAGAGATATATATATGGCCTTATCATCACTAGTAACTCTCAACATAGCATCCTAATGTATGTTAGTCATGCAATAGATATTAAATTATGAGAATATGACTTTAAGCAAGGTTGTATAATTTGCCTCACAACAACAATTGAGTTAGTGAAGATACGGGCTGAGGAGCTATATTAGGATTCTCCAGAGAAATAAAACCAATAGGATATATAGATATATTTAAGAGGAAATTTATTGTGGAAATTGGATCATACGATTGTGGAGACTGGGATATGCCATTTGCAAACTGGAGAAGCAGAAAAGCCAGTGGTGTGATCCAGTCTGAGGCCAGAGGCCTGAGAACTGAGGGAGCTGCTGGTGGTAAATCCCAGGATCTGAAGACCCACAGACCAGAAGCACTGATGTCTGAGGGCAGGAGAAGATAGACATCCCAACTCAAGAAGAGAGAATTAGCCCTTCCTCTGCCATTTTGTTTTATTTAGGCCCTCGGTGGATTGGATGATGCTTGTCCATGGCGCTAGCCTCCACAATGGTGAGGACGGATCTCTCTACTTAGTCTACCGATTCAAATGCTAATCTCTTCCCAAAACACCCTCACAGACATACCCAGAAATAATATTTTACCAGCTGTCTTGGCATCCCTCAGCCCAGTCAAGTTGACACATAAAATTAATCATTGTAGAATCATAGGAATATACTAGTTTTGCCCATGAAAACTACAAATATGGGAACACAAAAGTTTCTTTCCTGTATGTATCAGCTAGTATAATGTGACCTACATCTAATTCTTCCCTGTTCCTCCTTGATCTTTCCTTTATGTCTCTATATCTACTCCGTCTACCTCATCACCCCCTCATTTTTCTCTGTCTTTTTTGGCTATGTATAGGTACTGGGAGTGCCTACGGAGGATACCTGGCCTGGAGTTTCCAAACTACCTAACTACAATCCAGGTAATATTTGGTTTGAACTTCTGAATGCTCTAAGAATTAGCAGTGTGAGAAATTTAGCTACACAGTGTGTTCTTTTGTTGTTAACTCAACAGCAAAGATAGGTCTAGGCAAAATTTTAGGTCTTCTATTCCTTGACCAATTTTTAATGAGGAGGACACTGAAACAGTAGTTGAGTTTAGACTAGTTCTCAACCTCTATAAAACACAAGTAGCAAACTGAACAAGAATTTAATATGACTATTACTGTGGATTCCACACTCATTCCAAACACAGAATAGCTCAAGGAAACAACTCAAAAGATAGTCACTTGCCAGCCCATGACTGTCATTGATTTATATGGAAAGACAACAGAGGGGAAGTAGAGGTTAGGCCCAGGACAGGCCAGATAAGATGTCTCTAGATTATACAAGAGTTCACCCAGTTGGTCATTTTCTGTCCCCTTTTATCCTCCAAGACTGGCTCCTAGGGTGGATTTGGAAGTTTTGGAAATGTTGCCCATAGAAGTCTTTGAGATATTGTCCTAAGGCCATGGCAGAGGTGACAAAGTAGCCAGTCTTCACAAAAGGATGCTGAGACAGAAGGGAGGAGATACACAGAGATGAAGGGATGTGTCAGATGCCAGAGAAGCAAGAATGGCTTAAGGGAGAGTTAGATATGCACAGATAAGGACAAGATTAAGATGGATACAGCCCAAGTCACCTTTTCTAGTCTTTATATTCTTACATTGTCCCATTAATAAAAATGTTCCCCCCCCTCAAATTGTCATTACTAACACTGGTATGACATTATCCTGCAAGGGCTTCATGAGAGCAAGAAACTGTATGGAGATTAAAAAGTGATTAAAGAAAAAAACAAAAGACATAGGAGACTAGGGATTTTTTTTTCTTCTGTAACATCTAATACTTTTGCTCAAACAGCTATATATAGGGATCAAGCATCTTGAACTAACCATGATTATGGAAACTTTATAGCAAGCTAAAGACAAACCGTAAAGTCATTTCAGTTTTTGTGAATGATCATATGCATTGGCAAATTACTTTAGGGTCATTTACAAATAGTTTGACGTTTCTAAATTTTGCTAGTTTAGTACCTGAGAAAAATGCTGCTATCTGGTCACAGGGCTTCCCTTTGGTCTGAGATAGAAAAAAGAACAGGCTTCTTGTGGAGACCTTGATCCAGTCTGCAATAGGTCCTATCTCCTGTTGCCATGGTTTCTAGGAGAGCCTGGCTTTCATCTTCTCCCACCATACCCACACCTCTCCTTACCCTGCCTATACTCTCTTCTCCACGTGAGAATGGGAGCCCTCAGGGTTCTAACGTGGATGCAAGCCTGTTATATCATTTAGGGTCACTGGTAGGTTGTAGAAAACAATTTGGATACTCTTAACACAAAACTGCCATGGTGAACATATGTTGATCCCCCAAACTTCAAACATTTGGGTCTCAGGTTGGTCCAGGCAATAAACAATTTCTTAGTACAGAATGCCTTGATGAGGACAATAATGATAGAAACTTGGCCAAAAATGGTCCCCTGTCGGAGTCTGTACTAAATAAGGTAACTGGGTTCCAATAAAACAGTGGGAAATATGCTACACTTTTTCATTTTGCTATCGTCAAAGTAATGTGAAATTTTTTATTTACAAAGAGAAATTCTCCAGGTACACCATCAATAGGGTTTGTACTTTGCATTGTTTTCCTAGTAAGCATTCAATTTAATTCAAATGAGTCAAATTTTAAGCACCTACTATCTTTTCTCTAAGATAAGTCCAGCTTATCTTGGGCCTGGGGTCAGTGCTATTGGTGACTCAATCATAAGGACCATGTTTTTAAAGGTCCATCCACCTCTGTGTTCCAGGAACATCCCCTATGTGAATCAAGAAGTCTCTTTGAGCCACCTTCTTCACCCACCCCCATCCCTGGGCTGCTGCTGCTACCCTTGAACTCCAGTGATTGAGGGAACAGAAGAGGGGATGGGAGCCAGAAAAATGTCACAGAGCAGAACTGTGAACACCACTCTGGATGAGATTTCCATTCTTTCCCTTTTCATTCTAAGTAGTAGTAAGAACCCCAAACTTTGAATTCAGCTGGTAGAACAATTTTGAGGGAGCCAAAGAGCTTAGAACTTGGGAGAATCATCCAGTGTCCATCTGTGCCCACTCTGCCATTCCCAGGCCTTGTCTGGGCTACGTCTGGGAAGACAACACCATCTCTCTTTGTCCAGGTTAAAACAGAACAAAACCAGACCCTGCTGGAGAGATTCGTCTGGTGAGCAGGGCTGGGGGTGGTTTTAGCCATCAATTCTGACTGTTGTGCCTGATTAAACCTGGGCAATGTAAGAGAAGTGTATAATTTTAGAGACTGGTTTCTTTCTTTCTTTCTCTCTCTCTTTCTCTTTCTTTCTTTCTTTCTTTCTTTCTTTCTTTCTTTCTTTCTTTCTTTCTTTCTTTCCCTCCCTCCCTTCCTTCATTCCTTCCTTCTTTCCTTCCTTCCTTCCTCCCTTCCTTCCTTCTTTCCTTCCTTCCATCTCTTTAGCCCCCTCCCGCCCCCCAATTTTAAGCAAGCTGGCTGGGAAGCCTGTGTCCTCTACTTCAAAGGGCCAGTTGTCTTATTTTGATGTGGGCAGATTAAGAAGTAGGCTTTGAAAAGTAGGCTTTTTTTGCTTGCTTTCTTTCTTTCCTTTTTTTTTTTTAATCTTTTCTCCTGGGATAGCTTTCAGAGCAATATATCCAAGTGTCAGTGAGGGGGTTCTGACGAGCACGGATTCCCAGACTCTCAGCAGGATCATTCTCTAACAGAAATATAAAAGTGAAATATTAAAAACCCTGGAACGTGAACTCCATCTGCAGAGTAGCCAGTGTCTTGCCTGCTTTCACCATGGGAAAAAAAGATCTTGAAAAAAGAGGGAGGAGAAAAAAAAAGTCCTTTGAGTAAGAGGTTTACAGGTTTAGTAGAGCATAGTAACATCCCCTCAAAGAAGTGGGTGTTGCTCTGTGACCCCCCAAAATGCTCCTCCTTTGACTCAGCCGCCAGAACACTCACCCTCCCCTGGCAACACACCCCCTTTTCACATGCTAACTGAGGTGCCTGTGATTGGCTGAACAATAAGCTGGTCACACTTGCTAAAGGACTGCCATCTTTCACACAATTAGCCAAGACACATTAATCAAACTGGCGTGGAGCTGGGGCTGTGCGGGCCTCCTGCAGTGGGGGAGGGGAGCAGTTTTGGTGATCCTTAATAAGAGTCCACAGGAAGCAATAATAAAGGACAGCATGCTAGAGGGGATTCTATCCAGAAAGTCTGAAAAGGTGAAAGCTCCCTATCTGTGAGGCCAGAGGATCCCAGAAGCTTAGAGCAAGCCAGACACTGGTCTTGGCTAAAATCTGCTGATACAAGACAGTAGCATGAATTTAAAAGTTGGACCCCCATAGACATTTTTACAAAGTTCCCTTGCCTCTTAGGTTTTCCCCTGCCCCCAGAAAAATGCACTCAGGGGTTCCTTCCCTTTTGAGCTTCCAGCACTTCTGGTCCAAATGGAACCAACAGGAGTAAAGCATATATAAAAGGTAGAGAACAATTTCAAGTCAATTAAGATAAGGTATTAAATGGCAAGGTGCTGGTTCTAAACTCAGTATTTGAAGGACCTTAAAAATAGTTAATATTGAGAGAAAAAAGTAGGTTGACATTTGTGCATTCAATGGCAAGCTCTTCTGGCTTTGCTTTTCCAAATTTCCTCTAAATTTTCCAATGGCAATCTAGAGCTAATAAGATCATACCTTAGAGACGGGTTTGCTACACAATCATGTAAGGCTTTTAAAAGACTCAACTAAATATTTAGACATTTCTCAGCTAAAGTAAACAGAGGGCTTACTCCTCTGGAGGTTGTCCAGTCACCATCTCATTAGATGCAAAGATCCTGTGATAAAGAAAAACTTTTTTTTCTGCCCACACGATTGCAGCCCAGTTGTGGTTTTTAATGTGTCATTGATTGTTTCATCCAACTTCTTTTGCTCCACTCAAAGGGTCTGTCGTGGCTCTGTTTGCTTCCTTAAACACGGGTTTTGAAAGCACTCATGCTGTGTGAGCTCAAATCCTAGCATTAATGTACTGCTGGGTTCATTTCACCACACTCAAAAGAGCTGAGTTTAAATCCCTCTCAATTCCATTTGAGGCACCAGAAGACTTTATCCTTCTCCACTAATGGTTCCAAGTTTACATCTAGATACTGGGGTCAAGGACAGGAGAGGATTTAGAAATAACAGTGCATGACATTAGTCAATGCATTTGCCAAATTGGCAATTAGTTCCTGATGTGCGTGCAAAGCATCTTATTCCTGACTCTTTGATGCTCGTTCCCATTGAGAAGGGAATAGAGTCCACAGAGGCCTTCAAAGTTTTAAAGAAATATCTGCTGAAAATCATGCCTGATTTGTGACAAGAGCTCAGCTGCAGGGAAGCATCCGGGATTATCCTGGTTCTTTCAGCCCCAGGAAGGAACGCTGAACATGGTAAGATTTTCCACTGGAGGAACTTAGTGGAAATCAAAAAGCAGGAGAGCGGTACTAAAAACCCTGCAGAGACCCAGACTCACATGGACTATGAACCATAGACAAATGGATCCTGCTCATGCCCGGTCATTTTCAGTATGCCTGCTTTTTCAACTGTTGGCCACCAGGTGGAAGCAGGAAATAACAAGGACAGAAATATTCTAACAGGAATGCTAACATCAGACAGCATTTCACTGGAGCAATCTAGCCTTTCTCCAGGAATGTTTTATTTTGACCTGAAACGCAGAGTAAGAGCTTCACTTCAACTGATACCTCTGTGGAACAAACGATTATTAAAATCCAAAATGATCCTTGTCCCTATTGGGATGGGAAAGAGCTACCATGCTTTGGACTCAGAGGGTTCTGCGCATGTCTTTGTTGCGATTGGCATCACACGAGCTACTAGCCAAGGGAGTTTTTTTAGTGGGATGAACTAAGGGGAAGGACATTGATAAGA